TTTTACTTATAATTAATATCAATTTTGCTTGTTATCATGCGGAAACGTTCTTCGTTTCAATATATATAAATATTTGTGATCATAATAAATGATAAAAACTTTCAATACATGATTCACTGACAAAACTGCATCATTGAATTAACGCTTCGGACCGTTCAAAGAACAATGAGGATCGTTGCCTCGTGTGTCCAACTAATCTAATAAATATCATTAAATAATAATCAATTATATAAATAACAAAATTAAAAACTATGTATATAATTGTTGCACAATTAACTTGAAGCGTTAATATAAACGAATAATTTAATGTTTATGAGAGCGCCCAAATTTGCCCCCCCCCTCCAATAAAAGATCCGAAATCCCGCCACTGTTGTGTTGCAATATTTTCAATACTGCGTTTCCAAGAGCAGCAAGTGATGTGTCCGCTGAATGAAGGCTTCAACATAAGAAGTTAAACATAAGAGTTTTGAACTTACCATCTTTGAAGTTAAGAAACTTTTTTGATTCATTGCTAAGAGCGTTTGTGGAATGAGCTGTTGATTGGCGATGTTGCACCAAGTGAGAAGTTTTCCCGCAGGTATCTGTAAATTAAATCTAAATAAGAAAATTAGTTACTTTATATACCAACCACCAAATAATGTAGTAAAAAATAATTTCGAATACATGTATTTTAAGCTGTATGCTTTATTAAATATTTAATAAAAATCGCTGTGTGAAAAATTTCCAAATTGCGAAAACTATAAGAAACAATTTCTACCTGCTTCTCAAATGCGTTATATAAATAACGATTCCATCCGTGGAAACGTTCTGTCGATCAGATCCACTTGAAAGCAGAGCACGTCGTGATGATTTGCTTTTCGACATTGGTGTGATAGTCTGCAACGTCCTAGTTTGAGAAGCCTAGTTGTTTTGCCACTGACTTTTAAAATGTATGTTAACTCTGTAACATTGTGTGATGAGAGATGCAATAATACGTATTATTATCTAGTTCTGATATCGCATTTATTATATTTATATCAAAGCAGGTATCGCATGATAATGATCGGTACTGTCGCAGTAGCCTAAATGTTTGTATTTAAAAATGATTTAATATAACAGCTGCGGAGAACAAAGCGAGTCGGGGCCGAGATAGCTATTCCACAGCCCACTCTACATAGGGCTGTAGCTATATTCATAGACACATAGCATGGAGGATTTTTCGATTAGCTTAATAAGAAATGTCCGCTTACATCGTCAAAGGAAAATTATAGCAGTGCTTGGAATTAGTGTCACAATACTATACGTAGAGGAAATGGAGAAGAATAAACGCACTGTTGAGGGTAAAAAGTTGCATACAAAAATGTGTTCACATGCTGCTGTTGATGGAATTAAAGAACTATCCTGATGACTTCCCGTACCCCTTATTTTTAAAATTTTTATACAGAACTTTTAAGCTTCCATAGACTAGGACTCTCCCTTATATGGAAAGAAACTCCCTCACCATATCCGTCATTTCCACCTCCAGCAACGAGTATCCGCCATTTCAAAATACCGCCCGGATAGTCACTATGTCCACTCGCAACAAACCTCCCCGTGTAAATGCGAGCCACGCTTTTGGTCGCAGCGTTCCGCACCGCGCTCTGGACGCAAACCGAACTCCCCTTTAGAGTGCGTTCTGAAACGTGCACCTGAGTGGCTCGCTGCCGGGCGCGCGTTCAAGAACGCTGGTGTAAGGCCGCCTAATCTCATAGATACTGTGGAACAATCCTCAATGAATTGGCACCACTTTGTAAAGGACTATTTTTTCTATAGTAACATATAGAAATTTGGTGACGATAGACTCACGTTCTTTTAGAATAGGGTATACGAACGAAAAAATCTCTTCGTTATGACTGCAGGATAGTGAGCGCATTTTCCTTCGACGTGAGATGGAACTAGTTCATCTATTTCCATTGGAATCTCGTTCACAGTTGAATATATATGAAAAAGCTAAAGCTATGAGTGATTGTGAATGATGATGTACAGACCTCGGGTAGAGATATAGATATTACTGAAATCAATCACATCTTGTGTGCAACAGGATCTCTGGTGTCTGAGATAATTTTGAGCCAGTCAAGAATACCGACGGCCGACAGCAAAATAGAGTAAGCTACTCGGTACCCGCGTGGACGAAAACAATTATGAAACGGATAGCCGACATTCGGCGTGAAATATCACTATTAGTCGAGGCATCTTCTAAAAAAACACCTTTAAAGTTCACCGAAAAATACACCAGGTTAAACAAAAATAACTAATTCAAAATGACAACAAGGCTAATGGTAGCTGAGAAGCTAAATGGGAATATCCAGCGCTTTAGACGTTACAAACGTAGAGTAGATTTTCGGGCGCAGATTCGGTTGTTTGAATCAGACGTAAAGAGATTCTATCGCAATCTGATTCAAAAACCGAAGGGCAATATTTCCCTCCTGCCAAAGATGACGTCGAAACATTTTAGGCAGAAGTATGGAACGAAAGCAGATCATACAAGACTCATATTGGCTCCAATCGGAAGTTGATGCTGCCGATTAACTCGTCGAAACCGGGGAACATGTTCGAAAATTCGCCGAAAGGACGTCTTCCAAGCAATTAAGACATGGGAAACTGGATATTCGCCAGAAATGATAAAACCTAGAATAATTGGATTTAGAAATTAACAGAATTACATTCTTATCAAACAATGGCTGTTAATAAAATTTTCGAAAAGCCAAAGGAACTCTTGGAATGGCTCACATATGTTACCCAAAACGGGAGACAGGTATTTAAATTCCGAGGTGGTAGCAGATATCTTGTGGGAATCCATAATATGGTAAAGGAAATAATCGTCCACAAAAGGTTTAATAATTTTTATTAATTATTACCCAGAGTTAACTTTCGCGAAACACTTTTCCTATCCTCAGTGGGTCTCTAGCAAGGAGGAGAAAATTGAAACATTAACATAAGTTGAACAAAAGTAATACAATGCATTTAATGGAAAAAACAAACAAATAATATCAAATCAATAAATAAATTTGAAAATACTTACTGGCCAAGTAACGTGGATTACTCATAAATGTTCACAACATGGTAAAAAAATATGAAAACTAAAACATGCTGGGTACAGCTAGGTGGCAACTATCTTTTGGAATGGATGAAGAGGAAGCCTACCAATTGTGGGAGGGGGGGGACAGAAGAATAGAAAGTAGTCAATTTTAAATCTGTTTATGACTACCCTAGGATATTATTGAAAATAAATGTTATAAAATTATTGTTTGAACACACAGCAGTTTGATTCAAGCCACGTACGTCATGACCATATCAGTATATATAAGAAATAAAATATTAAGAACAAAATAAAAAAAATATTTCAGTTAAAACAGTTTAGACCAAACGTTTGTGTATGTGATTTCATAGGCCAGTTTTAACTGGTTGAATTGGGCTGACTACTGTTGCACAATAATTTGTTACAATTACTTTGATAACAAAAACTGGCTGTGCTGTAAACATGAACATACTTATTACATTCAATATTATTGGTTGTGACACGTAGTTCATGGATAATGAAAACATATTAAGCAGTTAACTCAATTTCAACAACAGAGAGGGTTAGACCAGTGTTGCGCTTAACCTTTCAATTTGTTCTTAAGTGGGAGCAAAATTCCTTGTCCTTCGTTTTTGAACATCAGTGTGATATATCAAATGGGATATACAGCCGTGTTTAAGTATGCGATATTTCACAAACAAAAGCTTCGGCATCTTTGCAGGGTTCGTCCATCAATCGTCGTTTATCCAGGTGCAGATACACACAGTTATGATCTCTTCCACCATCCGGCTCACTATCACCCCAAAGAGTTCGTTGGATGGCGTCCATTGGTTGATCTGGAAAAATCATAACATTACTCACAATTTATACACAAGTTGCAATACTGACCAGTGGTGCAGCAGGTTCACAAACGTCTCAGATTTATTTTATTATTGTAGAACATTCTTTGGAAAATGAATCAATATTTTTTTATATTTTCAATTTTTTCATTCTTTACTTTAATAAAGTTTAATTCAGAGGGTTTCCCCAATTACAGGTTTATTACAAAAATGTCTTGATGGAGCCGACGTAGTGAGTTACAGTGCCAATAAGCGAATATAGAGAATCATTAAAACATTTAACAACAACTAAAGCTTGTAGATCACATTCTCCCTACTAATTTTACGTTCTCGTATACGTCCGTACACGAGAAACTTTCTATAGTATAGTTATTGTAGAGAAATGTATGTAAAGCTGCGGAAAATCGATTTTGAGATTTCAAAGAAAATACACAAATGAATATACAAAAACCAAAAAAGTGTTTTCTTTAAACGTCCGTCTGCCTATCCGCCCGTCCGTCCGAATGTCTTTCCACCAGTAAACACCACTTGTGACTCCATAGGATTTTTTCAAAATTAATTTCTTCCGGTCGAACTGGCACGACTTAAAACCCTGCGAATTTGAAACAATCGTTTTTCGGTAGGTTCTTAAAATTTTGAGGGTACTTTACATAAAGCTCCTGACATATTTACAAAAGTTCCTCAAAAATACTTGAATTTTTTCTTTAAATTTGTTTTAAGAATAGAGTGCAATACTTTTATAAAGATGACAAAGATCCAATTTTCACTGTTATTTTTGATTTTTCGTAAAATTGAAAAAGTTTGAAATTGTTTGGACACCGTCGTACATAATTCAAATTTCAAATGTTTCTTCATATTCAATTTGTTTTCCTCAATTAGTTCTTTAAACAATGTCATAAACATTAAACATATTTGTAGTTTTCGCGTTATTTTTGTGTGATATTTGATATATATGTATGTGTATATGCATATAATATAAACAAGATAAGATTTTCTCAAAAGCGGGTCTATCAACAAGTGTGGTGAAAAGGACGATTTTTCGACATAAAATCGATTATTACTGGGTCTAATCACAAAAAATTGGAGAAATCTTGTCCCTATATCTAACTAATTACTTCCTCTAACTCGTTCTTTAGCCATAGTTAATATTTGTGGGTCCTTGATACCGAAAAATTGATTGAAGGCAAAAAGTCTGTCTGTGGTAAATGCTAGTACCCTAACCGTTCAGATGTTTGTTTCCAAAATTGATATTTCCTGATAGATCTGAGCGAACTTTTGGTCCTGAGAGTTTGAAACGGATATTTTTATTTTATGGGAGTACTTTACATGTATCAATTTCATTTCGAAAACTTTCACAAAAAATAGTCAATGTTTTATTAAACGTTGTTCTCTAGTAGTATATAACTAAAAAATATCGCGAGTCTCGTTTTCGTTGAAATCTCTGGTTTCTTGAAAATTGCAAAAAATTAAAATTTTGTTGGCGTCTTCCTACAAATACAATGTTGAGGCTGCATGCTCTTGCCTGTTTCCTCTTCCCTGTTGCAATAGATTATTGCCGCCCGAAATAACTTTTTTAAATTTTCTTAATTTTTCGGTTTTCTAAAAGTAGAATGTATATATTACTTTAAGAATATTAAAAAACAGTAGAACCTCATCCTAAATGGCAGTTTGAAACACTTTTGCATATAACTTTTTTTAGTTTTCGATAAACTTCACTTGAAGCGCATTAACTCACAATTACAGTAGTGTTTACAAATTGTTGGAGATGTCCATAATATCGCTGTGAGAGATCTTTCAAAACAATTACATTTGTGTAATTAAAAAAATACCCCGAAATGAAGTGTACATCATTCCTTTAAGCATGATGGTTTTTATACTATTTTCTTTATGATGAGACAAAATTAAAAAATTAAATATTGTTTCAAGATATTTTTATACGTTTTTGTTCCGTGGAAAACTGTGTATTATTGTACCGAAACCCGAGCAGTACCTTTGCGGATTCCCGGGCGCATGAGGAAGGCTCTATATTGTTAAAACAATAAAAATTTAACTCATATTTTCAAAAATACTCTGCCATCAAAAATGATGAAGTGACATCAAAGGTTTCCTATCTCAGCGGAAAAGTTTGTGAGTAAAAAATTAGTCCATTTGATTTTTATGCCTCAAAACTAACATTTTAAGTTCCTGCTATATGGTCATTAGAATTAAAAATATTCTCTATTATTGTTAATTTTCTTAATTATGGATATCAATAAGTAACATTTCTTAAAGTGCATCACATTAGACTTTTTTTGCTATATCTTTGCTATTGATCCTTTCGTTGTTAAATAACGCTTCAAATAATCAACGTTGAGATTTTAATTTCAATGCTCTTATCGGTAGGTCCACACACTGAATTTTTTGCTGCGCTTTCCTTTGATGAACAACACAAGTTAGCACCTAAAACATACATAAGAGTTTTACAAAAAATAATTGCTCACAAATAATTTGGCTCGACAAAGCCCTGCGAATTCAAAATTAATCTTTTAATTTTGGGGTTATTTTACATGAAAACTCAACGAATTTTCCGAAGAAATGGTTAAAAATGTCTCCGTTTTTCTTTATAAAGTTTTTGGTAGAATAGAGCAAAGTATGTTTTATTTTTTTTAAAATGAGGAAGGTTCAACTCTGAATTTCCAAAAATTACTAACTATTCATTCATTTTGAATTTGAATAACAGAATTCATTAAGGAAAGAAGTCTTCATCATTGTAGTCGTAGGAAGACGCTGACAAAATTTTGATTATTTGGAATTTCTGAAAACCCCTTCCCGGCTTTCGATAACCTGGTCATGTTTGAGTCTAATCCTTTCGGCAGTGGAGGAAGTGGCTTCCGTGGACACCTCGGTGTCCGATTTTTGGAGCATCATACCCTCTATAAAGTTCTTGATCTAGTCATGACGCTTTTATTCTTGCTGGTTTCGTAAACATACACTGACCGAGGATGTGATTCATGGTTTCCACCGCTGTATTGCACTTCCTGCAATATAATCCTCTCTGAGCCTTCCTGTACAAAGAGTAGTTTTATTGGCAGCGGTATTTGATCTCAATGGGAGTGCAATGATAAAAATACCAGGTTTCAGAAGATGATAATCTTTCAAAAAGGCATTTCCAATTGGATCGTTTATATGCGCCCCAACAGCTCTCCCTTGGGATCTCAGCTTCTCCCAGGCGGCTACCTCGTCATCGGCGCATTTCTTCTTAACAGCCCTTAAATCTTGTTCAGAATAGGATCAGTTAAGTCTCGGTGTTTGTTGCTGTCTTTAATGTCCGTTGGTAGAAACTCGGACAGGAGCTCAAGCATCTGCCAATAGGATCTGCAGATTTTTCTAATCGGAATCCTAGAAACGTGTTGGGCAGCAATCCTAGTCCTCCTTCTCTCATGGCCAGGTAGAATAAACCATCTGCAGTACTCACATGCAGATGTAGGAACTATGACAGTCACTCTGATTTGACCATCCGCTTCTCTGAACATCGTCATAGATGTCAGGGATAAAACGAATTGATAAAGGTAATGTGGCATTATGTAGGTATGAAATAATACCAACTTCAAAATGGGCTTTAAGTGCCCCTTTTGAAGCCTCGTCACCGCTTCCATCAAATTCGACATAGATGCTTTAGATGGGAAGCCGTTACAGCAAGAGTAGGTCGTTCCCAGGTATGTTAGTGTATGATTGTTACTGACCAGGGAAATCCCCCCCCCCACCTTTCCCGACAGGGTCCTCTATGAACCAGGATCGTTCAAAGGTAATTGTAATTTGAAATGATGAATATTTCGCGACGGACAATGTCATTCCAAGCGCCCCAATGTATTCTACCATCATATCAATCAATTCTTGAGCCACTGGGGCATCTTGTGAACAATTCTAAAGTATCTGAAGATTGGAAATGAGCTCTTGTTTTACCAATTTTAAAAGTGGTGACAAAATTATTTTAAGTACTTATAGGCCGGTAAGTCTTACGTCAGTGGTCTGCAATCTTATGGAGCATCTAGTAGCGAGTTACATTAAGCAAGAATGGGAAATCAAAAAATGGCTCCATGATGGCCAACACGGGTTCAGGAATGGTTACTCTTGCGAAAGTCTTTCCCTCCCCCGTTATCCACAACATTAATAAAACAATCCCTCTCTCCATAGAAAAATTAACCCTTCCGCCAACAACCCAGACTTCCGATCCCCGTCCCGTACGGGGGAGAGAAGTCAAAAACCCTAAACAACAACCCACTAGAAGCCCATTGTTTGAAGAGACCCCGCAAGGGGTCAGGCGAACGCGATTTGTAAACCAAATGAGACGTTGCGAAAGTCAGGTAGTCACATTATTTCAGGATCTAGCAAATGAAATTGACGCTGGCGGGAGAGTAGACGTAATATGGTTGCGTAGGCTTCTGCGGCCAAAGTTTGTGTTATCTGGGTTATCCGGGACGTACTGCGTCACTGACATGGTGGCTAACGTTTCGGTCAGTGTATTATGGCCTTCTTCAGAGCGTACTGCTTCAGCAGTAGACGTAATGGTTATAGAGTTTGCCAAAGCGTTCGATGGCGTTCATCACGATCGGCTTCTACAGAAATTAAAGAATTCAGGCATCAATTTCGAAGTGGTGGTGACGGCGTGGATTAGCGAGTTCCTGCGAGACAGAAAACAGAAAGTTCGAATTGGGCAAGAGTTATCTTTTGGGGGACGTGTTACGTCAGTAATACCGCAGGGGAGTGTTATTTTACCTCATCTATTTCTAGCGTTTGTCAATGATCTGCCAGTGCACTTAGTCTAAAATGTTCGGTTATTTGCGGACGATTGCATAATATATAATAATATGAATTCGAAAGAAGACGAAGAAATGCTGTAACAGACATGCTGCTGATACGTTCTATTATTGGGCGGAAAATGGAATGTCCATAAATAAATATAAAAGAAAATCCATCAATTTTGGCAGGGGGTCATAATTACAGAGAAACAAATTGCCATTTAAATAATGACATTATTCCGAGAATTTCCTCGTGCAAGTACCTAGGAATCCATTGCGATAGTAAATTAAGCTGGAAAAGACACGTAGATTTTGTTGTAGGGAAAACATGGAGATCTTTCACTTTGTAATGCGCGTCTTAAAAAAGAGCACAGCAAATGCGAAGGAAATTGCTTATTTATCGCTTATTCATCCGCACAAAATTATGCAGTGTACAAATTTGGGAAAGATTCAGCGTAGGGCAGCTAAATTTACTGTTAGGGACAAAAAATAGCAGGATGGGATTCACTCGAAAACAGACTCTCAGTAGCAAGACTCTGCGCTTTGTATAAAGTTTATTGTGGTAATCAAGCTTGGCAAGAAATTAATCGGCGGTTAAGTATTCTTACATACATCAGTAGGGGGATTACAGACACAAAATAAATTCATGACCGCAGAAAACGGATGTCGGGAAAATTTATTTCACAAATCGAAAGATAACGGAAGATAATAGATTGCCTGCAGAAACCTTTGACCCCTTTCCTCGTAGCGTTCAATAGTTTAGGGAATTAATTTAGGGTATTACTAAGTAAATGAGGGACTTAACTGAGAATAGTATGTTATAGAGCGATGAGTAAGTAATATAATGTGAAGTGAGGAGTCGGGCAGTGTAGAAGAGAGAAATAATGAAGGAAGTGATTAACGGGGCATAATGAAGTGAAGTGAAGTGCAGTGTGGTCTTAATTGAACAAACATTCAATGCGGAGTTAGATTATAGATGTTGCCCAGAAGAGGACCGCGATATGTCGGTCGAAATATCGGCTCCTCAGCCTTCGACGCGGCGTCACCCGGACAGCCCAGATCAGCCATATTCTCTGGTGACGTCTCTGGATGCATTTTCTTCAATGAAACCATTTTCATAATTCCGCCCGAAGAGGAGACTTTCCCTGCTTAAGCACATCAGTCTTACCACTACGCTGCGCATTGGCAGCTCGAGCTCTTTTAGCTGCGTCTGGAAGAGCAAGGCGAAATGTTGTGATTTGATTGCGAAGTTGGCGGAGCATAACTCACATATATGGTCTCTTTTAGATTCCCTCTGACCCGGGCACTTAGGGAAATGGCTTATGCTAATAGCTTACCCTTATAATTCTTGCTGCATTTGGAGCATAAAAATATGAAGGAGACATCGCAATGGATAGTATCGTGATTCCGAACCATGTTATTCATATCGGTGGCCATGTAGCCACCCTCTCCTTTCTGGGTACAATGTGCGCAGTGACTCGCCTCGAAGGGAATTCTAGTCATGAACCGTTACAAGCTAGGATCGTCATAAAAGGTGGCCTGTAGTTCACGGGGCGCGCCACCATGCGCTCCCGCGTCCGAGGCTTCGTTCATAGTGTCCGCTGCCACTCGGACGACGCACGACGGGGCCGTGAGCTGCAGACCTTCGACCCCCTTCCCCGGAGATGTTTTTTTTTTGGTCAGGGATTTCTTTCTCTTAGCTAGATGCTCCCATTTTAAGGCGCCGGAGACTCGCCTATCGCCCATCCCTCGTGGCTGCACCTCAAGTTACCCCGAGAAGCATTACCAGGGGCCTCCGCGAGGAGGTGAGAGAGTTGACTTGTCGGCCACGCAACGGCAAACCCATTACAGGCGGCTATTACGGCCATACGGTTGCGATCCCATTACAGGAGGGCATATAAGTACTTACTGGTGTAGGTTTACACCACCTAGACCATGGGCGACACCGGAGCCCCAAAATTAAGAGAGGTGTTAGAGGAAGTAATTTACTATACAATTTATATACTTGTATACCACGTTACTCGTTATCACGGCCCGGCAATAAGAGTATTTGTGACGATAGCTCGCTGTTTGTCGGCGCGCGATTGCAATACTTTTTCTTCTTACGAAGTAAGCGCGAGAAAATAAAAATTGGAGCCATTTTTGATAACATTTTGAAAATATCACAGGGGCTTCATATGGAATGCCCGCATGTATGCATATTCATGTGAAATATTCATTATGAAAAAAATATACGAGTAGTTTAGGTACTAGTCTTGTTCAGACACAGATGGACGAACAGACGTTAAAAAAGACGCTTTTTCGGTATCAGGGAACCTCAAAACTCCGATTCTGACTAATCTACGCATTAGAGTAAGTAATTGTGTGTATATAAAAGCAAGAAAATTCATTTGCGTTATCGTGGAGCCACAAAACGAATTTTTCTGCAGCAAGAACTGCACTTTTCCGCAACACCACACCACTTTCTCGATACTACGCATATTTCTCCGTATATACGTACTTATACAAGAAAGTAAAATCTACACTCTTAATAACGTACAGGGGCTGGACTAAATGAAATGAACGCGTGATATATACAAATTATTTATTCATTAATGTGTTGGACCATCATTTGCTTTTAAAACAGCTGCAATTCGTCGTGGAGTATGGTTACATGGTCTTCATGGTCCATATTATTTTGTCCAACCTCTGTAGCTGTAGAAGGAGGCCAAAACAGTTTGAACTTTTGCAATATTCGAAATTATTCAAATTCACAGAAAACAAAAATTACGAAATTACAGGAAAAAATAAAAAAAATATTTCCACAATTTACGTATAAGAAGAGGTAATAAATTACATATAGTGTTTAAAATAAACGGACTGTTAATAATTTCATGAGACATCTCTAATGTTTACAAATATTTTGCATTCAGCAAGAAATATAATCCAACCAAGGTATAAAGCCCTTTACTGATAATATCGTCTCCAGACAAGCAGTAGTGCAGAATGTTTCCTTACCCACGGCCGTAAGGAAAGCATTTTCATGATGAATGTCTTGAAATCCGACGTGTATAAATCTGATGCCATTATCTGCCATTAATGTCAGCAAGTAGTTTAGTTCATCCTAAAAAGAAAATGCCAGTGATGTGTTAATGTTAATCCAACGATTTTTTATCCCAATTATCTTCGAGTGCACCGAAGATATGGGTAAATTAAAGAGTTTAGGAAAATTACTAGAATTTGTAGTTTATGACGCGACAGTTAAATTTGAGAAGTTATCGGAAGAATGCACATCAACATATTGAAAATAATTTGTAATTTGAACAACTATTGCCGAAAATCGGAGGGAAGACAAAAGGTCTTTAAAATATTTAATAGCTTGCGTCTCAGTTTGTAACAAAATTGAATGTAATTATGAAATCAAGAGAATTTACAATGATTTTGTCAAATATAAAATTACAAATACCCCTTTATTACATTTTAAAATATACGCAAACGTGCTTTTTAAATCCTTGATACTCTGTTGAAATCGATTTCTATGATAATTTTTAAGCGATTGGAAAATAATTTTATCAACATTGATTTTTACAAGACAAATTTAACGAAATTGAGATCAGTTTCGTAATAAGACATGCCAATAATACTTAATTTTATATATAATAAGTATTTTATTTATTTAAAGTCAAAACAGTTAAAGCAGTGTTTGTCGTACTGTGGCGAAGAAAGAAGTGTATTCTGTGTATGTTTTCTTAAATTCTGGGAACCCTACCCTAACACATACAAGAAGCTCAGAAGCCAATTTGGCTAACTCCATTAAACGAGTATGTTCAGTATGAACAGTTCAATTTTTTGACTATAGAAAAGTACATACTTTTTGAGAACATTTCGAATAAACGCATGCATTTTTTCCAATTAAGGATGTTTTCAGCACTTTAAAAAATATTTTTTTAAAACTCAATGTCTTTCTCTCCCATAAAAAGGCCACTTTATATGGAGTTAGTCACATTGCCAAATGAATGGTATTGATCAATTCTAAAGTGCCACTGAACGGCCACCGAGACAACCGAAAAAATGTTTATTTTCCAAAGCAGTTAGCGGATTCTAGCGGCAAAACATTTACATACGGAGTTCGTCCTCTTGGGCACTGATTGCGGAACACAACCATGTTATTATGCACAGTTTTAAAAATGGAGGTAGTCAGATTGGCATCTGAACGCCTCTTACAAGTTGAATTAAGAATACAGCCGGAAACGAGCGTTTTTGGCAAGAATTGACAAGAAAATAATCTCCTGAATGATAAAAATTATTCGCAAAGGCAAATCAATTAAAGATGTTGGCTTTCGTGTCCTTCGCGAAAGAATCTACTTCCCACCGAGAGAACATGAACGATAATGGGAATAATTATATTATTTCCCACTGAATTTCAGAAAATGTGCACAGATAGTGCTGTTACGTACTACTTGAATAATAGTGAAGTTACAATGTAATATTAGAATACAAGTGTTATAGAAATTTCTAGCGTCCTAACAACTATTATAACCAAGAGTCTGTGACATTTCGTAGGACTAATTGTTGAATTTAAAGGAACATTGACATTATGACGAAGTGTTTGAAAAATGGTACGATATTCACATCATCTTTACATTTAAAACACTGGGTTTTGGTTTAGAAAAAAGTGAACTTTCTACTTTATTAAATTGCGTGATCGTTGTTTTAAATGAAAGGTAGTGGATCCTAAATGTGTTATCGCTTGTTATTATTAACTCGTTTTATAGTATAAACACTTGATTTTAATAAGATCTTAAATTTACAGAATGAATTCTTATCTGCCGCGAAGCTGGACGGGAACAACGGTGGCTTTTGGACGGATCGAGCATTAGGCTGATGATTCAAGTATTACTTCGCAGACGCAGAGGCGATCTCTGCAAGTGCCATGAAATGTTTCGAAGATATAACACTTGGCTACCACAAGTTTTTAAGAGAAGTAAGTGTAATATTGATCACAGAAAGTGTGAGATATCTCTCCACTTAAATGACATCTCATTTCTTCGAAAATTGCAGGTCTTCGCTAGCGTGCGAAACGTGAAGGCTTTGCTGTGCAGTGTTGCATTCATAATAATATTAATTGAATATAATATGCACATTCTCTTGTGTTTTAAGGTGAGTTGCAATTACAAATCCATTCGGAAGAACTGAAAACCCATTTGTACTTTGTAAACGTATGTATTATGCTACTTTTTAATGTGTTTTGAAAAACAGAATTTATGTGTTCGTTTTTCTGTAAAGTTTGTTGGTGTAACTAACAATGAATAAGGTTGAAAATATTAAACGCAAAAAATCAATGACTTCAATGAAAAAGTCACAGAAACATTTTCTGAATAGAGAATATTCGATTGTTTTTTATGTTCTGGGTCGTGCTGAATCGACACGCGGAAAGCCGACCCTAGTAAAAAAATCGGACGGGTCCTTGCCAAACAAAGTCGAAGCGGGGTCGGAGAAAGAAATGTGTACAACCCTCACTGATGATGAAAAGTTCTGTTCAGCATGCTATCAGACTTCATAAGATGATTTGGGTTTAACTGTCAGTATTCATGTTAATGAATAAATGTGTATGCATGTAATGTATGTTTGTGTGTGTGTGTGAGAGAGAGAGAGAGAGGGGGGGTGGAAGGGAGAGAGAAAGAAAAAATGCATTACACACCCTAATGGCATGACCACGAGCCGCCATTGGCAGTGAGGGTTGTTCATTGCACGGTAGGAGTATTGAAACGCTATATTTTCCAACCCTCAACAACCATTTTGATTGTCTCATTTAAAGGAATGAGAATTAACCACTTACCAGAGAGTTGGGAATAACCAAGTATCCTCCATCGTGGGCGCAAGTGAGGTTTGCATCGAGCCACTTCATTTTGTCTGGGTATAGCTTGTAAGTTCCGAAGCCGGGCACAGTCGTGTAACCACGGGGGATAACTTGTGGCGGGGCGTTGCATTTTGGGGGCGGTGGGCACGCCGGGCATATGCAGGGGGTCGTGGGGCAGGTGAGGTGGATGGGCGGCACGGGGCAAGGGGGGATTGGGGGCAGGGTCGGGCAGTGCACAGCGGGACATGAAGGGCACGAGGGGCACGGCTGGCAAGGGGTCGGGCACTGCGACTGGCTGGAGGGGCACATCCGTGCGCACAGGTCGATGTTGGTGCCTTGCACATCGCTCGTTCCCGCGACGAGCGCCACCAGCGCTGAAACCCTATGGAAAGGAATCTCCTTAGGTCGCCTCCACACGAAGCCACTCTGCAACGCCACCGAGAAGCGCTGGACCGCGTCAAACAGCCTCAGACCAGAGCCACTGAGCGTGGGAAAGGAAGGATTCGCGAGAGGGCGCCGGCGGTCGCAAGGCAATATTGACATGACGACGAAAACAAAGCATTGAAGTTCCGAACATCGATGTTCAAAATTAAAACACCCATGTTAATCGACCAAAGAACATCGATATTTTTGAACGTCGATAGTGCAAAACTCGTTTAGTAACCTCTAACACAAAATTTGTGCTAAACAATATTTAATTTAACAGAGGCCGTGTATATTGATTTATAATTAAACTTTTACTGAAAACAGCTAAAAGACGCCTCTCCCTGTGCAAAATACGAGCTAAGACGAAGGAAATACCAAAGCAATGGAATCATCTCCAGCGACAGATAGCCTACTAGTTAAAGGTAGTACAAACTGTGTTCGCCTGAATCGAACAGATAAACTGTGAGTGGCATCATCAGTTTTTATTTCATATATTAACATTTACAAGTTGTCATTATGGGAATTTTTCATCCACGAACAATACATCAGAAATGTAAAATCATCGAACACAAAACATAATGTTTCAAAAACTTTGGCTTCAATATGTCGATGCTTATAACATTGTTGTTTATATAGAAATATTGATGTTCTTAAAACATTGCCATCAATATCACATCCCTACAAGGCAGACGACACATTAATAGCTAAACTCATTGGCGCTTCCGAGTGGCCTTGTGTGAAGGCTGCCATTAAAACCGTGATCAGCTGGCGGTGGCGCGAACGCACGTCTGAGCTGTTGGTAGGGCTGCGTTGTTGGTGGCGTGCACGTCTATTCGACGCAGCAACGCCACTGCGCCGCTTGTGTGAATACCTCCATGTAAACCAATTCTTTGTTGGCAGCGGCTCCACACGGAAGCGCTGCTGAATGACTCCATGAGAGGTCTTGAATCAAATCTTAAACATTTATAAAGGATAGCTTTCTTTTTATCTCATCTCTCGCTATTAAAGGGAACCTTTTTCGTAGTTGATTTGAGTCTCAAAAATAAACAAAGTAATTCTCACGACCTTTAAAAGTTAAAATTATTTCGTATCCCTTAAGCAGCCCTCGTTCACGTATCCACTGTCAACAGCCCTTGAGGGTACGATAGTGAAGCACGATAGATGTGAAATCACGCGACCGAGAACATATTCGTGATCCTCTTGTCATCTTGAACTTCATATTTAATTTCGAGACGATAGACTTTTAAATTTATTGATTTATTTTCTTTTATTATTTTAAATAGGCAACCACACAATATACAACTGTATTTATAAGTAAAGTGTATTGTCTAATATACTCAGTGACATAATTTAAAAGTCCTTTTTTTTAGAATGTGATGCTTTATGCCATTTAGAATTTAATTCTTTATGGCATTTAAATAAAAGAATAGAGACCCAAGATGTGATCCTTGGGGAACTCTGATGTTACTGCAATATTTATAGAAATAATAAACTTAAATTTGTGTTCTTTATTTGAGAAAACTTTCTATCCATTTCAAAAGAGTTGCGTCGATTTCTATTTTATATAGTATTGTTAATAGTAAATTGTGAGAAACCGAATCCAATACTTTCAAAATGATTGAACGTGTATAACGACTGTGTCAGTGGCGCAGCGTGGGTGTCAGCCGCCCGGGCGGAGGATAATTTCACTGACCCTTTATTTAGGTACTTCAATTTAAAAAACAAAATTGCAGGTGCTATTATACAATATCAAACATTATTCTTTGTATCATAGATGCCATTTTTGCTGAATATTAGTCATAAACAATTCGAGCACAAAATAAAATAGGAGAAATCGCTACAAGTCAGTACATACGGTGTTTGCAGTCCCAACAGTGAGCAAGATGGCATTGCTATTCGAGTACATTCATTTCAAGAAGTCATAAAATACGTAATGAAAGATGCCGTGTTCATTTCAATCGGTCTGAATGGTAGTTGCGAGGAAAATTTGATATGAAATGGTTCGAAATGTTTAAAAGATATTGTTATTTGTTGTGAAATGTTGCCGCCCCCTGAAACAGCCGCCCGGGGCGGGCCGCTCCTGCCGCCCTCACAACGCCACGTCACTGGACCACTACAATTTGGGAGTTCAATTCCAATTTCTCCTCAACGTACTGTTGGAAATGAGTAGATAGAAATTTAATGAGTGGTAGACTTTTTCTCCTGAAACTATGTTTCTCGTTTAATAATAGTTCATTTCATTGAAATGTTAATTTTTCAGTTATTATTGCTTCGATTAATATTATGGTGCACCATTTAGATAGTGGTCGATAATTTTGGATATTTGATCGTCTGATTTATGAAAGGGGAAAATTCAACGTTTCACTTTCTCACCTTACCACGTAAGAAAAGAAAGTAGTGTCGGAAATCGTCGATTTTACGACAAAATAATTCCTATCGCCGATCCTAGTAACGTAACGTAAAAGTGATTTCCGTACATTCGGTATACAGTGGACGTACATTTGGTTCATACAGACCCTATGTAGTGAATTACTCCCTCTAATACGTTTTGTTGTCATAATTACGTTTTGGTGGTCCTTCATACGCAAAAATTGAGAGACAGTGAAATGTCGAGGAAGACAGATGATGGGACTCCGTCCGTCTGCGGTCAGCGCTAGCGCCTACAAATGCTTTTCTCAAAAATTGATTTTCCCTGATCGATCTGAAGGAATTTGAGACTGCAAATTTTAAATGGATGTTGTTGTTGTTATTATTATTATTATTATTATATTTATTTTTATTATTATTACTAAAAATTCTAGAGCTACTGAAATCTAAGATAGCTGGACAATACTTGTTCATTATTTTTGAATGTTCTCCAACCTTCGAAGATACAGACAATGGACATCAGTTATATATTACAAGCTTCAGTATACTAATCTCTACAGATGAAAGATCTTTTTTATTATGTAGTTACAAACAGTGTCGTGTTGAGTTTGTGCATTCGTTTTCTTGCACTACCATACACAGAGGGCTAATTGTTCTTTTAGAATTTGTTCATATACAATTCGTTTGCCAACCAAAACTTTTATACGGTTATATTTTATTACAATATATTTTTGGCTAAATAGAGAAGAAAATTACTGTTGAGAACTAGTAATTTCAATGTTTTGATTTACTGTATTTATTTTTATGAAATTTGTAGAAATGTACTTTTAATAAGTTCATTTTAATTCTTCATAGTGCAAAAAATAACATTATCAATAAATATCCACGTAAAACCTTGCTTAATATTAAGAATGTCGATTAAAAAAAATTAAACAATAAAGAGAAAAGGAACTCCTAATTTATACACTTTATAACAAAATCATTACTAAGATAAAGGAACAGTAATTGTTAATCTAATATGCTCTTATTTAAGGGGCACCAAATTTTGGCATCTCTTTTTCATATTCGGGGTTTATGCTCCTGATTACAAGTACTGACATGTGATAGAAAATTGTGTTACAGATAAAACGACAGTTGAATTCCCCCCTCACATTTGTTTAGTTGGTACAGCTGTATCCTAAAATAAGTAAATGTGAATTAATAAAACAACTGTCTCTATGTTCTCAACTCTCTTGCTACTTACCAAACGATCATGGTGCTGTGTCAAAGGCGGCTAGAAGCAGGCTGTGAATGACAATATACTCAGAATCTCGTGTGGAGTGCTGGATAAGTCTCGGACATTGTATCGGGCTAGGCGATAGCCTAGGAAGGGCAGGAGGATGTAAGTAATGACGGGAAGCGATAGCCGGATAACAAACATTGACACAAAGCAATTCCTATCCTACAGTACGTCATTCAGAATTTCATGTTGTTAACATTTAGGTTTTATATTTTGTTTTCTAACGTTTCTTGTGCACATTATTCTTCTGTAATTTTCAAATCGTAAATATATATTTTATGATCGATGTAATTTTAACATTTTCTTTTCATTATTGCAATTTTTTTATTATTCTTAGTCCTTATTTTAATCCATATCTTGAACATATTTAATCCTTTTGTACTGTCGTATTTAGGCAGTGGTGTATTTCGCACTGACCTGGAAGGCACTGGCCTAGGGCGGCAAATTATTAGGGACGGACAAATTTAAGATCGTATATATTTTATAAACAATACATTATTTCATTAAATAGTAATTTAACAAACATTTATTTTCCAATAACCTCTTTTTTAGTTATTTCTTTCATGTATAATTATTATAGGCTATTTCTTTTTTAAATTCATTGCAATGTTGATTTATAATTAATAACTCAAATTAAGAAGTCCCCAAATGTCATTTCACTGAATTAAGTGAGATTTACATTTGCCGCGCTACATTTTGCAGAAACTGATAATTGCGCATCAAGCGTCTGATACAAGAATCACGATTCTATCTGTCGCATGTGCACAGGGACCAATCTCTAAATTTTACACCATTATGTGATAAGTAGGCTGTGACTGTGCAGGATAAATGATACATGATGCAAGAGTTCACATATACTAAAACATAACAACATTATATTTATTCTCCAAATTTTTCAGATAATAGATATCGCCAAAATATTTCAAGGAAATTGGAGGTCATTTGAACGAGGCGTGTGTTAAGTCTCGAATCTATAATGTCTCGACACACGTAATGTCTCTAGTAATCAATATCCCTATTACGCAATGTCTATACCTGTCAGTGCCGGTAATGACGTCAAGTCCCTAACTGGAAATGTCCCTACAAAATAACTCAACAAAAAAGTGTACTAAAACATTGAATTGTTCAATATCAGGACCTTGACCGTTTTAATAGACATAGTTAATATATAAAAAGAGCTTTTTAATTTGTTTAAGAAATAATGTTTCCTTTTCAGGAAATGAATTACGTTACGAGTGTAGAGAGTACGACTTGGACATTGCTGCTTAGCGATTTTGCTTATTAGGGACATTGCCTCTCAGACATTTGTGTAGGAGAGACTTTGAATGTGTGGAGACATACGTCTCATCTGTGCTTGCAGGATTATGGCGTATTTCTAAAATTATAAATAAAAAAGGAAAACTTTTCATAGTTTCGTTGCATTATTCTTCTTATAAACATATAATTTGTTTAGCATATAGTCATATGTCTTCATATGCTTTTTTGTACATCTGTTTCCAATTTCAGAGCGGAACGCACAATTTCTTCTTTAAAAATAATTTTAAAAATTCTGAAGATCGAAGAAGGATGACGTAATTTAATAGCCATTCTTTGTATTAAAAGCATTTTTCTGGAACCAATAGATTTGCACACATTTTTTTAATGAATTCGCTCTAGAAAAAACTCGTAAAAAGTTTGTATCTTGATAAAGACTCTCAGACTTTAATGGTTTTGGGGTGAATGCGACTATTTTATTATAAATCATGTTCGTTTTATTTCATATATGCAAAATATGGAATTTAACAATTGTGCTACGGTGGCAATAATTAGTTGGCTTAGGCGGTAAAATTGTTAATATGCCCATCTATTTAGGTTCATGTAATTCCATAAAAATCCTGGCCCCTATTATCGGTGCAAAAATAATTAGTTTTTTGATTTTTTTCTGAAATATGACCTTGTATGGACTTTTGGACTTGCACAGTTCCCTGTTTCGAGGCCTGTCCGTGCAGCTGCTAATCCGTGTATCGATTGTTCGTGATCCTATAGTTCTCACTGAAAATCTGTTTGCCCTTCTGCCCACATGTTTCTGCCAATCCGTGCCAGGTAATAAATCATACGCTGGTTAAAAAATAACATTTCGATATAGATTCTAAAACTAATTGCATACGAATTTGAAAAAAATCCATGTTGAAGCATATTTGACAAGTTCAACATCGATTTTCAAAATGCCGACAACCTCTTTGTGAAAATATAGAGAAATGCCTTCTAAATTAGGAAGAGTTAATTTTCAATAAAACCTACAAATTTTCGAGAAAAGTACGATCATTCAATGTTTTTCTCATCTTGTCTCGTGCAGCTTAGTTTGATAAAGGAATATTGTTTGCCTTCAATTAATCGAAACTGCAATAATGTGGTTTCAAATTACATTCCATAAATTACCTACAAATTATACGTTTTTAATTATTATAATGGAAATACTACCGTTTTATATTTGTTTTCGCTTTAATACTTCCAAAAAAGACCCCTTTGAAGCGTGTCAAAGGAGAAAGAGGAAACAAGTGCAATCTGCTTATCGTGTCTACAGATATCGGCGGAAAGACGAAAATGGAAGATCCGGTAGAATGAGAAAATATTATCTGCCAAAGAACGCACATGGATGCTAACCATGTGCCGTTTTGCTCCTTCATTTATATATCCAGATGATTTCTCTGGATGTATTTTTAACTGCGATGTCTTCAGCATGAATCAATGAGAGTTGAATATATTGTAAAATAAATTACTTAGAAAATCTTTCAACAGACGGTATATGTGAGTAATTCTTAATATTTAGCGACGGAACGAATGGGGTCTAATGAACATATTTCATTAAAAAATATCTTCACAATTGTGGTTATATAGGAAGACGCCGGAAAAATTAGTTTTGCACTAACTCAAAGATTTAAAAAAATAAATGAAACTTCCTCTTAAGAGTTTTCTACCCATTCGACAACAAAATTTAATATAAAAAATGTTGGTGCTATTTTTTAAAAAACTTTTAAAAATGTCTCAGAAGCTTCATGTTAAGTACCCTCCAAAATTAAAATATGGGTTTCAAATTCAAGGGGTCACAATATCTGCCAGATCGATTCAGGAATATCAATTTTGGTGAAAATTCTGTGTTCGGTTGAGCCGCTAGCGTTATTCACAAACATACATTTTGCCGTCAAGCAATTTTTCGGTATCATGGCCCCACAAATAGTGGATTCTGACTAAACAATGTAAGGAAGTAATTTACTATATTTTAAGATAAGGCGAAAACGGCGAATTTTCGACACAAAAACTCTTATTGCCGGACCCTGGTATCGGGAAAGTTGATAAATCCAATTGCTAAATTTAAAAAAAATCTAACTCGTTGTATAGTCAGAATCCGTTTTGTGGGTCTTTGATATGGAAAAATCAAAAGACGGCCAAACGCCAATGCGTGCGTCCGTCCGTCATGATATTCGGCAGGAAATCACGAATTACAGGGTCCTGGCAACGAAAAAGTGGATCAATCCAAAAGGTAAATTTAGAAAAAAATTCTCTAACACATGGTGTATCCAGAACCCATGTTTTGCACCTTGATACGGTTTCGGTCTTTGAAAAATCGATTGACGTCAAAACGTCCGTCTTTCTGTAAACAACGCTAGCGGCTAAACCGTTCAGCCAATTTTCTCCGAAATTGATATTCGTCAATCGTTTTGTCTCATGTCGAGCCCCCTTGAATTTGAAACCCATATTTTAACTTTGGGGGGTACTTTGCACAAAGTCTCTGGGGTATTTTCATTTTAAAAAATGGCACCATAGATTTTCATTAAATTTTTTAGTTGGATAGTGTGATGGCTTTTAATAGATTCTGTTCGTTGATCGCATGGTCGTTGAAAACACTGATTTTTCGAAAATTGCAAAAGTTCAAAATTTTATCGGAGTCTTTCTACAACTAAAACATTAAAGAAAGCGATTTTTCCCTTAATGAAATCTGTTCCTTAAAAATAGATTTTGATATAAGGATATATATTATAAATATATATATATATATATACTATATATATATTTATATATATATATTATATATATATTTATTTATTTATTTATTTATTTATAATCTTTCGGAAAATGGGACCTTTTCGATTACTTTTCGCGAGAAAATAATGGCGAATGTATTTGTGTTTTAGCACCTCTAGTTACTCATGAAGAGGATTGAATTGTAATCAAAGTTAACAAATAGTGCAGATCGAGACATCTTATCCAAAAAAATTTAATTCGATTAAAGTACATAAAGCTACTTTAATTAAGTAAATAATTATACATAACTAGAAAAAATATTAATGGTTGGGAGAAAGAATAAAGAGGGGGCACCAAATATTATTTGCTCCTGCACCTCAACGATTCTCTACTAGGTGTCGCCCTGTAATTGTCAATTAGGTTAGGTGTGGTTGGATTACGTTGTGCTATGTTATGTCATCATGAGCGCTCTCACGAGTACAATGAAGCTGCGGGTAATGAATATTCGGGCAGAGAAGAGAGTGAGACAGAGGCAGACAGGGAAACAGGGGCAGCGACATGAGTGAAGAGAGGTAACGTAGTTACCATATTGGTCAATATTATGCTGAATATTATCTAACAAGTTATGAGAATCCGCATTTTTCGGGAGACCAGGGATTAAAAAAATGGCAGCTTGGATGTAAATAGTTTCTTTTTCAGTTGTTGACACAATGTTTTACAGAACACACATGCCCCTTTTCAAGTAGTCGAAAAATAAATAAGAAACGACAACGCTCCAAATGACATTTCCCCAACACTGAGCCAAAAGCTGTTATAGTCAGGGGCTGATTCTGTGCTGAGATATGCATCAACAGAGCATAGTGACGCCGAAACAAAGTTGAAAATGGGGGTAGGGCAAAACAATGGCTTATGTATGGCCCAAGGCTTCTCTATCCAACGTAGATGATCGTCCTACCCCATTGCAAATTGAAGCTTGCACTGGAAGCCATGTTGGGGCAAATCTCTCCGTCTAAATCAATTACTTCGAAATTTTACACACTTGTCCGCATCTGCGAAGGTCCGGATCGTTAGAAT